TTTTGTGTCGTTGGCGTTGTAAGCAAAAAACTCCCGGCAAAGAATTGAAGGCAAAACCGCGTATCTCCTTTGAAATCAGACATACAGCATACAGCTCAGTATCCGTTCCAATAAAGAAAACCACAAAAGATGCATAAAAACCACATGATGGATGATAAGGCGCGTGTGAACAATAGGAACACCCTCCCACGCGTTCCGGTAAAGATTAGGTTTGCAGCTGCTTCGAAAGGGGTTGACGTCATTCGAAGCCCTCGTGTGAAGTGCAAACCGCATAATGGAGGATAACGGCGCCTGCGAACAATGCGAAGCACGTTCCTTCTCCACGCGTGTTTCCCGGTAAGGATTAAGGTCCGTTCACACTCTTGCGACCGAGTATCACCGAGGGAGATGAGACCTGTTGAAACCTTTTAAAATTTCTTAAGACGAGAGAACAGACTGGCACTCTGGCGCCATCTATGCGGTGGCTCTGGAACTGCATTTCACAAGAGCGAAGGTTTTGCGGGATTTCCAAGGGCAAATGTGCGTAATACTTATAAGAAAGGCTCGTTTATAACGTTGACTAAAGTTTTTCGAGCCAAAAAAGAAAGGATAAGGCGCGAGAGAAATAGAAAATATGCCGGACCGCCAAGTTTGCACTGCTACCCAATAAATGGCGCCAGTGTGTCCTCTCGTTGTAAGGCCCGCTTCAGACGGGGCAACTTTTCCAGCAATTTTGAGGTTGCTGGCGGGTCGTTCCCTAGCTTTCCCTAGATCGAAGCGAATTGCTGAGATCGGGTCCGGCTCGAACAAGCGAGCAACTCGAAGCAATTCGAAGACGTTTGAAGCGGCTGCAGCCAATCAGGGACGCGATGTCTTCACGTGACACCCCTGTGGTGGTGATGATGACAGCTGAAGACTTAGTTCTGGTTTGAAATGGATCGTTTTTGGAAATAAATATTTTCAGAAAAATTAGTTAGTATTCTCAACGCTGTTCAAACATATAAGAACGGGTTTTTAGCGCTTAGCTGGGCGACTAAATAGTGATATAAAAACCAAATCGGTGAAATAAAAATCAATTCGGTTGCTGCGTGTGAACGCGAACGGCCCCTGTTGCTGGTGTTGCGACGTCAAGTTGCTGGGTGAAATTGCTCCGTCTGAAGCGGGCCTAAGAGATATTAAGAGGTTCCAAGGCACCCGGTTCTAAGAGGTCGCGATTGTCGGAACGGGCCTTTATGGTTGCCTAAGCTACTCCGAGTGGAAAAGTACCCAACAGTATAGAAATCACGTAGGGACGTCACCACGTTGTTCAAGTGACGTCGCAATGGGTAGTCGTTGTGGGTGTCATTTACAGCTTCGCTGTCCAACCACCTTCACAGCGTGGATTGGAGCCACATTTTTCTGCATAAAACGGGGAACTTCTCTATTACATCCTGTCGCACTCCACCTCGCGCGGCCGCGGGGTAGGTTGATGGAACAGGAAGGGGCGAATAGTATCTCCCCAGCGACTTCCTCGAGGGCCCGTTTGCCCAAAGCGCTAACCGCGGCTAATGTTAGCCGCAGTACCTAGGAGAAAGATTTAGAAATCACGTGACTGGCTCGGTAGGGATGGGATGCGGGGAAACATGGCGGGGCCCCGGTGAGTGGGCGCCACTCGCTTTGGAACTAATCTGTCGTTGTAGCTGCAATATCGGGCGCGTTAGTCAGGAACGAGTGGTGCAGGAGGCTTTCGCTTTGCCTTACATCACTTAAATCGCAAAGCAACAGCATTGACCTCGCCGCATTTTTTAGATAGTCTTTCGATTCTGGCTATTCCGAAGCCTAAATGAACGAGATAATTATCAGCATGGCAACGTCTTTGGAGAGCGCATTGCCTTGACTCAATCGGTCGTGTATTGATAGCACGCAAAAGCAGACAGCGTCCCAATAAATATTTTTCTAAATTTCCCAAGCACCGAGGAGAACGCTGAAAGTGCAGTTCTACGGTCCGCGCGCGCTGGCCATTCTCTTATAAAAGATTCGAAGTAAATAATCATAAGGCTTTGACGAACGCGCGTGCAAGGCAAAATTTGTTTTAGACGTTTTGCTCTACAACAATTACTACTGCAGACGGCAGCACGTGCAACGGGTGTAACTACACTCGTAACATGCACCTCGGTGCTTGGGAAATTCAACAAAAGGTCTATTGGGACGCTGTCTGCTTTTGTGTGCTATCAATACCCGGCTGATTGAGTCAAGGCAATCTACTTTCCAAAGACGTTGCCATGCCGACAATTATCGCCTTCATTTAGGCTTAGGAATGGCCACAACCGAAAGACTATCTAAAAAATGGGGCGAGGTCATTGCTCATGCTTTGCGATTTAAGTGATGTAAGGTAAAGCGAAAGCCCCTGCACCATTCGTTGCTGACTAACGCGCCCGATATTGCAGTTACAATGACATATTAGTTTCAAAGCGAACGGCGCTCACTCACCGGGGCACCGCCATGTTTCCCCGCATCCCTACCGAGCCAGTGACCTGATTTCAAAATCGCTCTCCTAGGTACTGCGGCTAACTTTAGCTGCGGTCAGTGCTTCGAGCAAACGGGCCTAGGAGTTAATCGATTTTAAGGTATCGACGTTTATCGAAGCAACATTTGTGTGCCTCTTGTGTCGCGGGCCAAATTACGATTGCCCGGTAATGTCAGCAACACCAAATTCAGCTGAATAAATATGAATTGAAACAAGCGCGTTTTATTTTGTTTTATCTGAAAAACGCTTACACACGAATATTATTTATTTATTTTTAACCGGAAACACTGCGAAACTAAACTCTGACTTTCTAAGAATTCAGAGTTAAACAAAAATAAAGTCCGACAAAGTCCGGATTTTTTGTCAAAAAATAAGCTCCGACAAACTCCGGATTTTTGTCAAAAATAAACTCCGAATTTTCATCAAAAAATAAACTCCGAAAAACATCCTCCGAATTTGTGAAAAAATGAATTCCAAAAACACGAAATCCTAGATATAATGCAGTTGACAGATTAAAAAAACAAAATCTTTTGAAGACTGATATCTTCGACGTTCCGTAGCAGAGCGCTCGAAGTATCCTGGATGTACACAGCTGTTTTAGAATGTGGGATGACTGCGTGAGATGGCAGCGAGCCAACTGCCGGCAGACGTAAATAAACGCTTATCCGCCGGACAATCTACTCTGTGCATCGCCCTCACTTTTTGCGGCCTTGATATAAAGGCAACCCAAGAAGCAACGAGACGTGCCACGAGGATCGAGTGAATGACGATAGCGTATCTGCCATGGCCGTGGACACAAAGGATATGTCAACTGGTGCCTCCATCCGAGAGTTCCCTCGGCCGCCATTTTCCCATTCAAATAAAGAATCGGTTCGAAGTTTTGAATAAGATGACGGATAGTTCTGAGACTTTGGCAACTGGTTCGAACCGCCAGCACAAAATTTAGGTGCAGAATGAGCGTTCCAAGATGCGTATAATTTAGGTTTCCGGTGAAAAATACCCTGTAAACGATTTTTCGGGACAGACTATGGATACACTTTAGATAGCTTGGAACGTTTCTCAGTCACGTAGACGAAAATATTGGTCGGTTACGGCGTCGTTTTTTTGTTTTTTTCAAACGGTGCTAAATTAGTTTCTTACATATATAATAATCTTTATTCTGTTGTGACCACAAACAGCACATAGCCTAAATCCCCACTATCCAATACTGTTAATGTGAACTCGGCATCGGTACTTTTTTACGTGCGAAAGTAATGAAGAGCATCTTGAAAAATCAAAGGTGAGGTCAAGAACTATGCACAAACACCGGGGGAGCAGTACCTACTTAATGTAAGTTTGCTCTAGCGTTCAAAACGCTTATGTGTGTGCTCGGAAACTTTTAAAATGGGAAAATCTAGAAAACTCTTACCACCTGCATAATTCAGTCCACAAATAAAAGGAAAAACACACATTATAGTGCGTGCATTTCCGCTGTTTCACGCGTTTTAACCCCTCGAAAAATGGGGTCTTTAGTGGCCTATATCTCTCGCAGATTCTCTATATTAGCGTCATCGGTATGCTGGCACTCCTTAAAGAAGGCCTGCGCATTATCTTATTTCTGGTTAGATTCGCTGCTTGGCTTGACACACTTGATGTGGAACATATTGGACAGGACCCTGAATAATGAGAACTTAAGCATCGCTCAATGATCGAGAAACATACTGTAATTAAATCAATTTGACTGTCATAATGTTAAAATGTTGCGTATACTCTTCGCTACAACCCAAGTAAGAAAGGTAGTTCCTGTTATTAACCGGCGAGGAAACAAAATGCACGCGCGTTTTCCCAAAGGAATGCACAGGAGCGCCGCAAAGGTGGGCTGGTTGCTGTCTCGAACAATTTGAAACCGGAAGTCCCATGATACTACACTCTCAAGAAAAAAGGGTGTAAAAGGGTGTAGTTTTACACCCTTTGTCCCATATAATACACCCCAAAACTTGATTTCGGCGTACTGAGCCCTATAGTGAAACAGACGGCCCCTAATTTTACGAGGGGCTTGATAACTGTGCGACATAATATTTTAAATATCTAAAGTACGTATCAAAGACCACAGAAAGAAAACAGCGAGTTTTTACACTTGGGCCAAGAAAACCCCGATTATTATTATTTTTTTTTTAGTCAGTAACACATACATTAGCTATTTTAATAAGTTGTACCACACGGCCATCAAGCCCCTCGTAAAATATGGGGCCGTCTGTTCGACTGTAGGGCGCTGTACGTCAAATTGAAGTTTTGGGCTGTATTATATGGGACAAAGAGTGTAACGATGCATCCTTTTATACCCTTTTTTTTGAGATTGTAGCGCCAGTTGAACCTCTAGCCTGCATTATAATAATTCTATCCATCGCCACTCCGATCGTGTTAGTGAAGGATGTCGAACTTCGCAAGTTTGCACGCCGAATCCACCACCAAATGCAAAAACTGACACCGAACCATGCCCATTTCCTAAAAAAAGAAAAAATGCAGACTCACGTACCTTTTTGGAGACACAAACGAAAGACAATTCCCTCTTCGCCGCAACGCGTGTGGCGATCCAAGCTTGAAAAGTGAAAGTGCGTCCAGCTGCAGCCCCTGAGCAAGGTGTTTTGCTCTCGCTTCACGTGCTTCGTTTCACCCTTACTATGGACCGCGGCGGAAAGCTACGAGCCATTCCAGCTAATCAAGTGCTGTGAACGTGTGACGTGATTACACATTCCGGGCGTCGCTGCGTCACTCTCAAAGGTCGCGTGACGGTCCCACAGCATTAGACTGAACTTTGCTGTCTCGTAGCATCCGCTGCGATTTATCCTAGTGCGAAACGAAGCAAAAAAGTTTGCGAGAGCGGTTGGAGAGGGGATCCGGAACGGCCTTGAGTTCGCTCGAGGACAGCTGGAGGCAAACAAACGCGATAACTAGGGAGGCTGTAGTGAGGGTGGGCGCAACTCAAAACCTGGAGAGCGTTTGCAATTTAATGGCGGCGCCTGAGGGAGAGGATTCGAGAAAGGATATGCGCCAGTGTTGCCTGCACGAGAGCAGGCGCCCGCTCTGTTGCAACTGTGTTGCTCCATGCGCCTTTCCTCCTCTCGCCTCCCATTGCAAGCAACGAGCGCCTTGGCGCAGCCTCTCTCGCTTCCTTCTCGCTCCGAGAATTGCAAACGTCGAGCGGAGAAAGCAAAGTTGCCAGACAAGCAGCAACGTCCAAGATGGCGGAATTTACCATTTTTCGCGTTAAAAAAATACTTCACCTATCGCAACAAAACTGGTGGCTATGGAAAAGTAATCATTTATACCTTGCGTAAATTATTCAAGCACCTTAATGGGCTTTTAAGACCTGAGTTAGGAAAGAAAACGACCCTTTGCCCCATAGACTCCCAGCAAAATTTAGCAATTAAATGGCGTCCATGTCCCGTGATCGCCGATCTAGCAGTTGCACCCACCCTCACTTGAGCCTCCCTAGCGATAACGGTCGTCGTCGGCGCCATCTTGTGTCCTGGTAAGAAACTACACGACGAAGAAACTGAGCGCGCGAAGATCTAAACGAACCTCGCCTGACGGCCTTCGCATTTTACGTCTAATGCCATTATCGGCGAAGTGGCGGGTTGCGGGAATGCTTCCTGCAGGGTCGTCGTGGCGGAGCAATTTGTCCTCTAAGTTTAAGAGGAAAATTTCTCCGTTAGACGTGGCGGCGTCACGTGACATTGTACCGTCGTGTCGCCGACGTATATTACCTCAGTTGTGAAAGCCCTGCTGAGGGAAGTGGCCCCTTCACTTCCCTCAGTCCGTCTCCCGTAAAGGCCCTCGATGTGTTTGCGTTTCTCTTGCAAGTAGAGTCAAATGCGCCAGTGCAGGAGGCCCTTGTCTAGAGCGATCCTTTGAAGCAAATTGCGGCGCAGCACTGAAATTAGAGGCCCTTGAATGAGAATGGCGACGGAGCACCCGCTCATGGGTCGTGTCTTGAGCGTTTCGTTTCCACAACAATGGTTAGCACTACCTTAAAGGGGCCCTGCAATCCTATCTAAGCGACTGTCTTTTTTGGGGATTCCACATCTCTTGTTGTTCGGGCAACCCGGCATGCACGGGGTGAGTCACTAAATATCAGTGCGTCATATTATAACCAAAAGGTGTGGAAACCTCCTTCTTTTACGGGGACGCCCCGTGGTGCTGAACGCGCGCGGCATGTGATGAAATCGTGACGTTGTCGGTTCCGTTCGGCTCCTGCCTTACGACCGGACAAAAGCGCTAAAAGCTCCTTTTCTTCTTTTTTTGCTTTTTGTTGAAATAAAAAACTTTAGTTACGCGAACCATTTCAATTATTTATGAAAGTAGTTTTTCTTGAGTATTTTACATGATGAAAGAAACGAATGCAGTTTAGAAAGTACGGAAACAAGAGACAACGCGCGATGACCCGACCACATACCCCCCCCCCCCCCCCCCCCCCCCCCCCCCCCCAAGCGGTGGAAGAGGCGGCGCAGGCGCCCCCGCACAGGATTTCGAAGCGCGCCTGCTTGAGGATCTCGGAGGCCATGCCCCGCGGATCCTTCCAGACGACGCACGACGCCGGCAGCATATTTTGCAAGAAGCGAATGTACAAATATGTCTCCTCGCGAGACCACAGGAGGTCGTGGTCGAGATGCTTCGCCAGCGCGATCTGGGCGCTTACGAGGAGTGTCCTCGTACGGTACTACTCCGAGCTCCGCACTTTTATCGAGGATTCTGATCTCCAACTCCGAGAGACCTGGTAAATTCATGGCGGCTCTCGCGGTGGAGGGCTAAAGTAAACAACGAGCCGTCGACGCGCATGAGGCTGCAGGGGAAGCGGCCGTCAGAGCAAGCCGCAGCCGATTCGCCAGTAGCTCCGCCTCTACCATTGTCCGCCCAAGCCAGGACCCGGGACGTCATAAAGAAGTTTTTTTTTTTTTTTTTGTCTTGTTGTTGTGATGGCTTACCAGAGCGCTTTCACCAGTGTCATGAGCTTGCTAAATTGAAATCTAGCAGAATGGGCAGGTTTGTTAATCGTAAAAAAATGTTTAGGGCTCTTCATAGTTGCAGTGTAAGCTGCTGCGCTAAGTCAAACGGCGATCCCTGAGAAATTCCTCTCGTTTTCGTATTAAACAGAACGCGAAACGGCGACACACCATATCGGAGGAAACTCCGATATGGTATGTTTAAGCTGGTATGCTACCTAGGGCTGTACGCAAAAGTGTAGTTTATTGGCGTGTGCTGAGGAATACCGGTTCGTGTGGGGCCGCGGTATCATTTTATTCATGCAGAGTGACCAAGGCATGATTCGATCTGCTGTTGAGTCTTGTCTTTCATCGAGTCCTCCACGCACCAACGCACAGGAGGCTAATCTCCCATGGAGAAAGGCTCTCAGTTACGTTGATGTAAATGCGGTCTGTCCGCCTTTTAAATAAAATTTTTTATTTTGCCAAACTTTTGTATATTTTTTCATGCGTTATACTAATCACTGTTCATTCCTTTGCAAATAAATTTGAACGGATACAAAAACGCCTCCCACAAGCTGTGCTCCGTTTGTAAATATACTACATTCACATTCAACAGCACGGAAGAAAAATATATTTTACAGCTTCACTGGCTTCGCAACATTCCTTAAATCTGTTTTCAATACAGTGTTACAAAACATGTCCCACTTTTGTTACAAAATCTTCCATCTGAAAAGAACGTCAGATTGTGGTTAATATGAGCATATTACTTTTCGTAGATTCCTGGCTACCGGAGAATCATTGCAGGATTTGGCCATGAGCTACCGAATGCACTCCTCGACAGTCTCAGGGATTCTGAGAGGGACCTTGCCGGCCATCTGGGACTGCCTGCCTCCTGTTGTACTGAAAAAGCCAGCCGTCCCTAAGTGGGAAACGATACGATAGGAGTATTGTGCCAAGTGGAATTTCCCGAAAGCCATCGAGAGCACTGACGGGGAAGCACTTTTCTATAAAGTGCCTAGACAACAGTGGGTCCGATTTTTATAATTATAAAGCGTTTTATTCCGTGCTCCTGCTCACTGTCGCAGACGCTAGCTACAGGTTTACTCTAGTCGATGTAGGAGTACAGGGACGCATGTCAGATGCCTCTTTCTTCAGGAAAGGTGCCATCAGGCGTCACTTTAAAGCAAACCCTCTCGGGCTGCCCTTTGGTGTGTAGCCGGCGACGCCGCTTTTCCATTGAGAACGTACTTAATGCTTCCCTACACTGGAAGAAATCTAGATGACAACAAAAAAGTTCAATTATCGTCTTTCCAGGGCGCGCCGATGCGTCGATAAAGATTCTTTCATTTTAGTCTCCAGGTGGCGTTCTTTCCTTGGAAGAATCGAAGGTGAAGTCGAGCTTGTCACTCATGAGAAAGGTAGCCGTCTGTCTCCATAACTTTCCTATGGCTGACAACTTTTAATACTGTCCTAATGGTTACGGTGACAGGTCACAGGGGTGGGCAGTGCAGAAAGTTCGGTGGAGGCAGACTGTAGCGCAGAATGGGACTGGCAATGCAGCGACCTGAAAGCACCCTGCTCAAGCAGCCATAGATACGAGGGATGAGATCTCAGACTATGTCATGCTTGCAGAAGGCTCTCTGCCACGGCAGCTGGACGTTGTCAGAAGTTGCTAATACGTGACCCTCTGTTACCATTTTTTTTTTCGGAAACATAGCGTAAGACAATTTTCCGCTTCCCTCCTCTAAACTGCTCTTTTTTTGGCATATTTCACTCCACGTGTTAGTCTTGTTAACTATTTGAGTGCCACTTGTGCGTGTAAAAGTTGTTTGCGTGGCTACTTGTGTCAGTCTATATTCTTGAGCCTGATTCGTTTATTGTTCTCCAAGTTTTTTTTTTTTTTCTGCTGCAGAGATTTGCTGCAGAGGTGAAAGACATTCCATGTCAGCCATTTTTCTTGTAATTAAAATGGGGGCGCTACATTACTTCTATGTGACGTTCTTTCTGTCATTAAAGAACAAGGAACCCATAAAAACGCCATTCTTACTGCCTGGATACGACAGGCATGTCACAAAATAAATGGTCGTCGGAAAAATATTTTTTGCCCCATATTTATGCCGCAAGAGGCAATTGTTGTCTGCACGAGCTCCACCGCAACTATTCTATGAGAATGATGATTAGGAGTGTACTCTATATCCGCCATTACTCCGAAGCGTCTCTTTTTTTTCCCGCGCTCCGAGAAGACGTGAGACAAAAGAGCTGAGTCGGAAATCAAGTACAATCCTAATCACCCTTATTATTATAATATTGTATAATTTTGGCATCGCAATTAATACAAGAATTAGCTATATCAACGTCAATAATGGGCGCGAAGTTAGCCAATAATGGGCGCGTCTTTTGACGAGAATTAATCTTATTTACATGCCGGTCCTATTCGGGCATTAAAATAGTGTTTTTTGTACGTTCAGTGACCTGAAATATCTTCTTTTTTTTTTTCAGCTAGTCATTGCTTTGATGCCCGCCGTTTGAAGTTCAAGTCTCTGATATATTTTCCGGCTTTTGGTTCGTGGGTCTGAAACCGAGTCTGCACCAACATTTGATCATTTTTGTTACCTTTGATAGTGTCACTATCACAAGAGCTTGCGAAAGATAGTTATATATATATATATATATATATACGAATAATATTATCACTCTGTGTTATCTGTGATGATTTTTCTAAGAACTATTTCGCATTGTATTGTGTGTAGTATTATCCAGTGCTCTGAGGCATTTCTGGCAAAAAAGGTGAGTTTTCACTTCAGTTTTGGTGCTATTAAGCCGGAGTCGTACTGTTCATACATCATCCAAAAGCCAGTCACGAGTTATCGCAGTATCTGCGGTTCGAATTCCGTGTGCCAAGCTCATT